TCCTCCTCCTCCTCCTCCTCCTCCTCCTCCTCCTCCTCCTCCTCCTCTCCAGAGCCCAACCTTTTGAACACAAGTTAAGCCTTCACTCAGAGAGAGGGGAATGGGTGTTCAGGTGGGTGCCTGAGGTTAGAGGTCAATGTCAAGTGTCTTCAAGTGTTCTCCAACTTATATCATTAACTGGGCTAGGTCATTTGCCCAAGGAGCTCCAGGACTCTGCCTGACTCTGCCTCCCCAGTGCCAGGATTGCAAGTGTGTACCACTATTCCTGCTTTAACGTGGGTGCTGGGGATTGGAACTCTGGCCCTCAGAAGACTTGCACAGCAGTCAGCTTACCAAGTGTGCCATCTCCCTGGCACTTCTGGGGCTTCTTAAGCTGACCTCAAGGCATTGGATCAAGTGACTGTTCCCTACTACACTGTAAAGGAAGATCTGAATAGCTGTCCACCAGAGACAGAGCCTGGTTCAAGTTGCTCCTTCACTGGCCAGCAAGTCAGCCACAGAAAGGCTCATCAGTGCTATCCTGCAGAGCTGATAGCAGGATCCCAGCAAAGCAAAGCACATGCCTGGTGCGCTGCTTTCCCCCAGACTATCAACCTCAGCTCCACCCACTGGGATTTCTAGGTTCTGATCTAGAGCTCACAGGAGGACCTGGTAGAATCACTCTGCAGTCTTCACTTTAGAGAATGAGTACCAGTGCATATTGTGAAAGTCTTGGAGGATGCTCTTGGAAAGTTTTTGTTAGTCTTTCAAGAGGAAAGAAAGAAAGAAAGGAAGAAAGAAAGAAAGAAAGAAAGAAAGAAAGAAAGGAAGGAAGGAAGGAAGAAAGAAAGGAAGGAAGGAAGAAAGAAAAAAGGAAGGAAGGAAGGAGAAAAGAAGGAAGGAAGGAAGGAAGGAAGGAAGGGAGGAAGGAAGGAAGGAAGGAAGGGAGGAAGGAAGGGGAAGATTGTGGAGATCTACCTGGCTGTGACCCAACATGTATCTGAGGCAAAAATAAAGACAAAGGAAAAAGACACAGTACTTAAAGGGTAGTTTGCATCCTTTCAATGAAACACCTAAGGTATGAATGACTAAGTGTCAGAAAATCAATAAGCAGTAATGGCAATGTCTACCCATCTCCTTGGACTAAAGCAATTTACCTATCCAGTATTCTGTCACATAGCCTAATACCTAAGGGGCCAAAGCCCACATTTCCTGACCCCTGAATCCCTTTTTGTCTTCTTTATATATGTAGACAGGGTCTCATATAGCCCAGGCTGGCCTCAAGTTTGCCAGGTAGCTAACAATGATCTTTAATTATTGATCCTCCTGCCTCTATCTCCAGAGTGCTGGGATTACAGACATGCAACACGGTGTCTGGTTTGCAGCACTGGAGACGGAATGCGGGGCTCTGTACATGCTGGGCAAGCACTCTATTGACTGAAGTATATCCCATGTCCTCCTTTTTGTTGTTTTCAAAAAGAAAAAGGATGCTAGAGGGTGGGGAGAGGAAGACTGCCATGGTCAAATGTTTTTCTTACCTAGACAATTATGACCGTCATGAGCCAACATGAAGCCATCAAAACAGGTGCAGCGATAGTTGCCTGGGATATTTAAACATTCGTGGACACAGCCTCCGTTGAGCTCATTGTCACACTCATCTGTGTCTGAGAAAGGAAACAGAAGAGAGCCCAGCAGGTGCTATTTCCGTGGGGGACATGTGTATGCATTTACCTGTTAGCAGCCCACTTCTTTAAATCCACCCAAACAGAAAATTAAACAGGCCCTAATCATTCATGGTTGTAGTGTTTGAAACTACAAAATACTAGAAGCAACCTAAAAGTCCATATTTAGGAGAGCAGTTTAATGGGTGTGGTATGTGCTGGCTGGCCTCATGCCAACTTGACACACAAAGTAGTTATCTAAAAGGAGAGACTCTTAATTGAGAAAATGCCTGCATGTGACTTAGCCATAAGGCATTTTAATTAGTTATTGATGGGTGGTAGGCGGTATGATTCCTGGGTTGCTAGCCCTGGGTTCTATAAGAAAGCAGGCGGAACAAGCCATGGGAAGTAAGCCAGTAGGCAGTGCCCCTCCATGGCCTTTGCATCAGCTTCTGCCTATAGGTTCCCAAGGTATTAGAGTTCCTCCCCTGACTTCCTTCAAAGATGAACAGTGATGTGGAACTGAGTGAAATAAACATTTCCCTCCACAAGTTGCTTTTGGTCATGGTGTTTCATCACAGCATTACAAACCCTAAGTCATGGTACATTCACTTGATGGAGTACTATACAGCTCTAAAAGAGAATGAAGATGGTCTCTATGGACTGGTTTGAAATAATTAATAGAATATAATGTTAAATAAAAAACAAATTAAAATGCAAAAGAAAGCCTAGATATGTTAAATTCAATACGACATCAAAACATACACATGCATATAAAATTTCAACATGCATAAAGTTTATGTGGGAATAAAGAGACTCAAAAAAGCTAATACAACTTGAAGACATCCAGAGGAACTTACTATAAAGTTGTTCTTATTAAGACAGCAGTCTAAGGATAAGGAGATCATGGGACAGATACCGAGAATGCAGACACAAATACCTACAGCCCAAAGTTATTCAGAGTGAAAGACCTTGGAACATCAGCCCTAAACAGGATGACTTCGTCAAATCCCTGCCCTTGGGGATCAGGTAATCCTGCAGAAGAGAAGGGCAGAAAGAGTCTAAGACCCAGGAGGATGGAGGACACCAAGGAAATGAGGACCTCTAACTCAACAGGACTGATGGCAGCTATGACTGAGGCAGCATGCTCATGTCAGCACCAGATGGGTCCTAGAGCTGAAAGAAGTGGACACACACCTCCATCATTAACCCAGAAGCTATCTCCAATTGATAACCACTCACAAATGAAAGTTTCGTTTCCTTCAAGGGAGTCTAGTGGGAAAACAAACTAATATTAAGCGTAGGCCACATGCCCCAGTAGATGCCAACAGAAAATGAACTCAGTGGCATCTTTGGAGGTTCCTTGTCTCATAATGTCATGCCAGGGCTTTTTTCCTTTTTTTTTTTTTTTTTAACTTTGCTCCCTCCCCTCTCCTCTCTCTCACCCCACCAGTTTAGTGTTTTTATGAGATGCCTGAGTATGTAAACAAGTGGGTCTCCGAATCTAATTAGTTTCTTGAGCTTTTTCTTGGGCTCGGTTCTGACTGTGTGTGTGTGTGTGTGTGTGTTGTCCTATTCTGATGTTTTGGTTTTTTTTTATTTTATTTATTTTACTATTAACCCTTAAAAAGCCTGTTTGTTTTCTAATGAAACAGAAGGGGAGTGGATTCTGATGGGAGGGGAGGTGGGGAGGAACTGGGAGGAGCAGAAAGAGGGGAAACTGTAATCAGGACATATGTGAGAAAAAAAATCCATTTTCAATAAAGGGGTGGGGGGTGGACAGGAGGACCCAAGCTTGAGCCAGCCTGAGCTGCATGGTGAGTGTGAGGACCTGGGTCATATAGCAAGACTCTGTCTCAGGAACAAACAAAGCCTGTGGTAGGTCTACACAACAGACTTCTTCACTGATAAAAAGGGATGAAGTGTGGATACAGATTGCAGCATGACACTGCTTCAAAAGCAGCAATCTAAGAGAAACAATCCAAATACTAAGGACCTGGATTCCATGAGTTCATCTATATGAGGTATCCAGGAAGGGTGCTGGAAACAAATCGCTGGTTAGCTGTTTCTGGGGAAGGACTGGGAATAAAGTGTGAATAGTGGATATTACTGAAAAGGAAAACGTTTTAGAACTCTGTGTGTATGACTGTACAACTCAGAAAGTTGATTACAAACCTTTGATTTGTCTATACAAAATTGGTAAGCTTTATAATATATACATGGTACATCTGAAAATTTGTTAACAAAGAAAATAGGCTTCTATTTGCCTGTCTGTATAAAAGACATAATGGAAGAATACAGGAAACTACAGTTGTGAGGGAAAAGGGGTAGAAAGAGGAGTCATAGGACAGGCTAAGTGGAACAAGAAGGCACTGCACCTCTTTGAGGATGTCAATTTGGTACAGCTTTGACTCTTAGAAATGCAGTAAGGGTTTATGTCTGTGCATAATACAAACAAATAACCAGGAGGTGTAGTATGGGAGTATGGGAATGGGAAAGTAAGGCATAAAAGGAAGCAAATAAACTAAGCATATTATGAATTAAAACATAACTAGGACACACGTGGGTAAAAGTGCTACCCTCGGTAACTGAAAGCAACCATTTGCTGGCTGTCATAAAAGCACGAACTGCTGCATGTTGCATTCTGGTTAATAAATACTGAGGCTGGTGAAACTGGGATACTCCCAAGGGCACGCGTCAGTCATCCTATAAATATGTCATGTGTCTACTAGGGCTGAGCACAGGTAAATACATGGCAATATGTGTGCAGAGGAATAAGAACAAAGAGCAAATAAGCTAGGCATGGTAGTGCACACCTGTGATCCCAGCACCATGAGAGGCAGACAGGTGGATCTCAGTGAGTTCGAGACCAGCCTAATCTACATAGCAAGTTTCAGGACAGCCAGGGCTATGAAATAAAGAGACCCTGTCTCAGAGAAACAGACAATAACAACAACAAATGAACGAACAGTACACACTCAAGGGCGTCTAGCTCTGTGCAGTGAGGAGCCCTAGGAGCAATGCACACAACGCTCTCAGGAGCACCACACACCCAGGTCTTAGTCTCTGTATATCCACCCTTTTCCATCAAAGGAACCAGAGCCCATTAGGAAAAATGGTTGAGTCCAAGGCAAGCAGAAAATATAAGAAAGGTGCAGAGGATCTTGCAACACAAAATATTAGAAAATTCTCAAAAAAGGATGTCAAAATGATACAGGCAACAGTGAGGAGGAGCTTCCACTGGCTAGAGCTGGAACAATTTGAAAATAAATAATGATATAAAGCCAATATACAAAAGTAGACAGTGAAATAGATAAAGGGATGGATGAATGAGCAAGAAGAGGCAGCTCTTCATTAAAGAACCCTAGTTTGTAGATACATAAGGGGGGTTGGGTGCAAAGTTCAATGCACACTACAGTGTTAGTTGCTGCAGGTAAGATCCATGATCTGACATAACATCAGACTTGAGGGGGAAGAAGGATGTTGGCATTATTCCAAAAGTACCTTCCCCCTAAATATGCCCCCACTGTAAATGTGGGGAGGGAATAGTAACTGAGTAGAGAGCCAATAGACATCACCTTTTTGTCTTGTTTTGTTTTGTTTTGTTTTTCAAGCCAGGGTTTCTCTGGGTAGCTCTATTTGTCCTGGAATTCAGTCTGTAGATCAAGTCCGCCTCAAACTTGTAGAGATACACCTGCTTCTGCCTCCCAAGTGCTAGGATTAAAGGCATGCACCACCATGCCCAGCTCAACAGACATCATCTTAAACCAGGTGGTCGAGGTTAGCATCACCCAAATGGGACACAGTGACATCATATATCACTGATCATATATTTACTGGGAAGGTCCCTGTGGTGTTTCTGTGGCACCCTTACTGATATACAGGAGATCCTATCATGAGAAGAAAAAAGACAGTTTCTTCTGGATGGTCTTAAAATTCAGTACATAGCCAAGGCTGGACTCAAACTCATGGCAATCCTCCTGTCTCAGCCATCATGACAAGCTCTATCAATTCTTTGCCTCCTAACATGAGGCAAATGAAATAACAGTGTCCATCAAAAGTGTTGATGTTGGGAACTATGAAGAGATGGCCTTGGAAGTTAAGAGTACCTGCTGCTCCTGCAAAGGACCCAGGTTCAGTTCTCAGCAACCACACCAGGAAGCTCACAATCGCCTGTCACTCCAGGTGACCAGACACCTCTTTCAAGCCTCCTTGGACACCTGCACATGTGTGGTGCACATACATATAAAATAGAACAAATAAATCATTTTTTAAAGTGCTGGTGTCACGGGGCAGGAGATGTAGCTCAGTTAGAGTGAATGAGATTCTATCCAGTCTCCAACATTACATAAGCCAGGTGTGGTGTCCCAGCACTTAGGAGATGAAGGCGGGATGATCAGGAGTTTGATAGCATCATCTCCTTGCCCGCACAGAAAGTTCAAGCCTAGCCTGAGCTACATGACACCCTGTTTCAAATAAATAAATAAAGTGGATGCGAGAGAAAGAAAGACTAAGAGCTGAGGAAACACGGACGCTGACTATGTGGGTCAGGACCTGGAGTTGATTCTGGAGCGGAAACAGAACATCAGGGGAGACTGATGAAATCTGAATGATGTTTACGGCTGTTTTTTAAGTGAGATTGTGCCATTGCTGAGTTCCTGGTTTGGGGGACTATACAGTGCTTTTGTAAGTGGACAGATGGTGCTTTTGTAAGATGAGTGAAGAGTAGCCATGAGTTTTGCAACCCTTTTGATCTAAAAGTATTTCTAAATGAAAAGTTCTCTTTAAAAAAAAAAACAATTTTTAAGAAAAGAAATAGAAAAATGGGGGCTGGAGAGATGGTTTCAGCAGTTAAAATATGTACTGCTCTTGAAAAGGATGTGAGTTCAGTTCCCAGCACTCACACTTGAGCTTAAATATAACTCCAGCTGTGCAGGGCCTGACACCTCTGGTCTCCAAGAACACCTGCCCTCGCAAGCACATACAAATACATGCAAGCACATAATTAAAATGAAGGATTGGATGGATGGATGGGTAGAAAGATAGATAGATAGATAGATAGATAGATAGATAGATAGATAGACAGACAGACAGATAGATAGATAGATCTAGCTGGGTGTGGTGGTATGCACCTACAATCCCAGCACTTGGAAGGTAGAGGCAGGAGCTTCAGCATTGGTTGTGTGTCTGAGGCCATGCTAGGCTACACAAGCCTGTCTGAAAGAAAAAAATTCAAAATCAAATCAAAATCAAAATCAAAACAAGAACAACAGCAAAAGCCAAGAATGAGTGTCTACTACACACCAGCTACCCCTGGAGGTCACATACTGTCCTACACCGAGGACTGGACTTCTCAGAGGCCAGGACATGAGACGGGGTCATTTGAAACATCAAGACATGAATCAAAGCCGGGTGCGGTGGTGCAGGCCAGTAATCCCAGCACTCAGGGAGGCAGAGTAGGTGGATCTCTGTGAGTCTGAGCCTGGTCTACAAAGTGAGTCCAGGACAGCCAAGTCTACACAGAGAAACCCTTTCTCTAAAATCAAAAAAACAAAAGTCATGAATCAAACATCAAGACATCACACACCACCCAAATAGACATGTATCACGCTTTCCTTCTCCCTGAAGTTAGGGCTGTTTTCCAAACCTCAGACAAGACTTACTATGTCAGGTTTGCTCCTGCAGACACTCAGATCAACTCCCACTATGAGTAAAACCTTTCAGAAAGAAAGAGGCCTCAAATATGTTCATCAAGATTGAGTCCAGAGGCAAGAAGACACAGAACAGCTGAGCTCAAATATCCCCCATCAGTTTTATGGGGATGTCTTGTCCGAGAGCAGCTGCAGGCTGAGTGAGCATGACAGACCAGGAGCTGGGGCAGACATTCACCTGCAGGTGAATCATGTGTTTACGGCCCCAAGCTCCCTGTCCTCAATGTCTCCATCCATAAAATGAGCAATGGAAATGGCCCAAAGTTCCCGGAGGACACCTGTCAGGGCTACCATTCTGCCTCTTCCAGTGAGAGCAGTTTCCATCTAGCTCCGAGTTTGAGTTCACAACTAATCTCTAGTCGGCAGAGTCCAGACGTCAGGCTCGCAGCTCCGGAGCACCGAAGAACTCAAATCTCCCTCAGCACAGAGTGAGTTTGCCATTCAAATAAGGCAGTGCCTAGGTATAATTCCAAAGCCTAGGAGTTCCCAGACCACAGACAGGATGAATCCTCCAGAGACAGCAGAAGACAGGACTAGTCCTTAATCTCCAGGGAGGCAGGAATGTTGCAGCTCTGAGAGTCTGGCTCTCCTCGTGAGCAGAACCAAAAAACAGCAAAGAATCTCATTTCCTTTTCCAGAAGCTACACAAGAGGACCTTTGAGAGCCCAAGAAAACTGTGATCCTTCTGGAAAAGACCTCTTGCCCCAGCCCTTTGTGGATCTGAAAACCACCTCAAAGAGCAGGTGGCAGGAGCGCTCTTTAGTCACTGTGTGCTATGGAGCTAAGGAGGTGGCAGCGCCTCTGCTGCCCACCTGCCCACTCTGGGTCACTTACCCTCACACTGTCTGCCCTCCCCTTGGTGGCCAGCCTTGCAGGAGCACTTGTAGGAGGTGGGTGTGCTCTGACACAGTGCATCAGCGTGGCAGTCGTCCAAGAGAACACAGCAAGCGCCTGGAACAGCATCCAAGAGCCAGTCTCTCTCTCAGCCTCCCACAAACCTACCCAGCTCTACTCCTCCAATGCCATACTGCTAGAACACCCAAGTCCAGGCCCATTTGCAGATGTGTTGCTCTAAGTGGAATCACCCAAGCGTCCCTCACTGGCCTCCAAGACTCAGTCCTCTTGAAGTGAGCCACGATCCCCTAATGCCAGGTACCTGTCCCCCACCACATGCTCGCACATGCTCCCACATCTTTAGCTCATTCATGGCCCAGAGTATGCAGGGCTGTCCCTGAGCACCCTCACCTGTCTCTCCACAGTGCCCTAACAACTGAGCCAGGTCTTTGATGCCACGCCAGCACCGTGCCTGGCACAGAAGCATGTATAGACTGCCTGCTAAGGGAGAGGAAGGAGGAGCGAGCAGGGCTGGCTAGAAAGTTCCAATAGATCGCCAAGACAGCTGTCTCTCGGCTTTCTCAGACTTTGGGATGGGGGGTGGTGGTGGTGGTGATGAGAGTTTCCCTGGTCTCTAAACAAACAGCATCCTGAGCTCTCAAACCGTGCAATATAGGAATGGTGTCCCAGAGGCGCCAGCCCAACCTTGCCCGTTCTCTCAACCCGCAAAACCACCATAGCCAAAGCGTGTCCAGGGTCGACACCACTCCAGCATATGAAGATAGAAACGAGAGGGTTTTGAAAGAGTTTTAAGTCCAGTCAAAGCAGACTGTGCAGAGTTCTAATCTATGATTACTGGAGGCTTAGGGACATCCCAGGTCTTGGCACAGTAGCTGTTCCGTGCTCACAGACGTCTCTGAAGCTCATGCTGGAAAGTATGAGCCCCAAAGGAGAAAAAAAAAAAAAAAAAAAAAAAAAAGAGTCACATTGCCTCGAGCTCAGTTTCCCCATCTACGCAAGGGGGAGCTGGACCCTCGACCCCGGTCTCCTCCACCGCACTCAGCCAGCGACCATCTGGACACCAGGCACTCTTAGGAGATCCCGAAGACGACAGGTACCAGGGCGGGAAAGGAGCAGGAACCTCCGGCCCCCTCGACGGCGGGTGAGGGCTCCGGGGGCGGGAGACCTCGCAAGGGGACCCAGGAGTCCCTGCCCTGCGCCGCGCCAGGTGCGCCCTGCGGCTGCACACTCACCCTCGGGCGGCCCGTTGGCGCGACCCGGGCCGGGAGGGACGGCGGCGGCCAGCAGAGGCTGCGGCGGCAGGAGCAGCAGCAGCAGCAGCGCCAGGGCCTGCCGAGGCCGACCGCAGCCCGCGACCCCCATGGCAGCCGCAGCGCGCGGAGAGCCGGCGGCGGCGGCGGCGCGGGGAGGCGTGTGCGGGCTCCGGCCTCCGAGCCCGCCGACACCCCCGGCCCCGCCCGCCCCCGAGCCCCGGCCTCATTTTCACACGGTCCTCCGTGCCGCCCCGCCCGCCTGGCCCCTCCCCGGCCCGAGGCGGAGGGGGCGCGGCCGCCGGGCCGGAGCTGTCAGCACAGCAGAGCGGTGCGCTCGGCTCCCCCGTGCAGAGCGCCCTCCAACTTGACCGGGTCCTTCCAGCCCGAAGTAGTCACCCGGACGCCCAGAGAGTGTCCCCGCTCAGTCCCCACACGACGAGACACGGGACCCCAGGCCCAGCGCCCCTCCAACACTTTGGGGGGGGTCCGCATATCCTATCGGGAAAACTCAGGACAAGGCTACCTGAGTGAGGTGAATGACCTCAGTTGCTTTGCCCAGGCCAACACTCACACTCACTGTGTGCTCCTGGCCCTAACCAGGCCTCCCTGATACCCAGCCCCACAGGTCACACGCACACACACATACACACACACACACACACACACACACACACACACACACACACATGAGAGAGAGAGAGAGACCGCCAGAGACAGAGAGACAGAGACAGAGAGCTGGGGTTGAAATCGCTGCAGAGGATGGTTCCTCACTGAAATCTAGTTAAGTGTATCTTAACAGCAAGGAAGTGAAAAAAAAAAAAAAAAAGGGGGGGGGGTCCAGAGGCCAAGGGTGGGCGGCCAAGGGCAGCAGGGCTCCCAACTTTGTCCTGGGTATAGGTAGCATCTACAACCACAGGAACCTGCAAATAGCAGATTCGGCGAGCAGCAAACGGAAGCAATGGCCACCACCTGACCCCCACAGCCAGGTAGTCCCATCTTTTCCAGGCGCAGGTGGCTGAGGCCACTAGAGTCAGCATCAGTCTAGGAACAAAGGCTTAACGGACCCTTTAATGGATGAAACAGATGGCCATATGCTGAGTACGCTCTCATTTGGATTTCTCTGAATGGTTCTTATTCCATTTTCTCCTGTGAATATTTACTTACACACATCCTCAAGTGTATGTGGACATTTGTCTATTTATACTGTGTGTATATGTCACACACACTCATTCCTTGTTTGGAAAAAAAGAAAAAAACCTCACCAATCTCCACACACACACACACACACACACACACATCTAGCTCATGCACAGGAGTGCACTGGTCATTGAGGACTCTGGCTACTGGCTACAGCTTCCTGCCTCAGGTCTCTGATCAGCTCTGTGTGCCACCCCAGCCAGTGTCTGCTCAGGGCCAGGCTGAGCCTGTCTCTTTGGGGGTGTATTCTGCTGCTGGTGGAGACTCTGAGAAAGGAACGTTCCTGCACTTTCCCTTTAACCTTTCCTGTCCAGCGAAGGCAGTCAGGCCCCACCCCTTTCTCTGTCTCTGGCTCCTCCCTCCCAGTCCTTTTGTGTTTGGTGCTGAGGGAGACACTTGGCTATTTCTGGTTTGAAGGGTGTTTTTTTGTTTTATTTTGTTTTAACACATTTGTAAATCTTCGCATAGTGAAACGTTCCCTCCAGCCTTTGTCTTTGTGTCTTTAATGGCAGCCATAAATTACTGCCTTCTTTTCTCCTGGCTGCATCAGGCTTCATTGCTTTTGAAACGATCAAAGTTATTTCTTCTAAAATCCAACTCAAAACTTCCCATTGTGCGGCGCTGCGCTCAGAGCCCTTTAGCTCCAGTCAAAGCACACAAACACAGAAAGTTGCCGGCTAAACTCTAAGGAGCCTCTTCCAGCATCCCGTGCCTGGTAAAGAAGACAGTTACCATTTGTTTCCGCTCAATGTCTCCAAGCTTATGTATTAACATAACACACAAACACAAATTCATAGTGATAAGGCCTGGTGCTTTTTGCCTAAGAGGGTCATGTTGTTGTTGTTGTGGTTTCTGGAAAAAAAATACACTGCTGCTCTGATGTCAAAAATTGTTCTGAATGATGTTTATTTGCTCTGATTTTTGCACAAACCTGTTTGTAGTTGGTCAGCTCCCAGACTCCCGGGTAACCTTTCTGACACTTGAGATTAAAGTCAATATGGTTTATGACTTGGGGTTTCCATAGGGGAAAAGATGGAGTTGTGGGGGTTGTTTAAATGTCACCACTGTTCTGGTCTGAAGTGACCTGGTTGGCTCTGCACTGGCTACTTCCTGCCTCTGTTGTTGTCTAGCCGAAGTCCCCACAGGCATTGTGTCTGAACTGAAGTCACCTCTCCTGCAGGCTACAGGCCATGAAGCAGGCCTGAAGGGACAGGTGGCCCAGCCAATATGTAAGATTCTGGCCATTCTGGAGAGAGAGCATAAGTGTGCTATAACTAGGTTACACTTGGCATCACTGGGCAGCTGCAGTGCCCATCTTTCCTGCTGCAGAGCAGGCTCTGAGGGGATGAGCCCTCCCAAGCTTTCAAACACCAGACTCCTGACCTTTCTTTCACCTGAGAAGTCCTTCCCTACTGTCTTCTTGGGATCCTCTTCCTACATCCTTCTGGACAGTTCACTCGTTCCCTTGATTCCATAACATAAATCTCCAGGCTGAAGTGTCCCTTAGCTGCAGGACCACACAGCATCTTATCATCTGCCTCACCTGCCTGCTATTCCTCTGATCCAAAATATACTAAAGAGAACTCATTTGCCCTTTTCCATATTGTCTTCATGTTAGTGGCCTTTGAATTTCATATCTTTAGAACTGTCTGTCCATTTTTTGATTGAGTTATCTGATTTCTTGTTTCACTTGTTTTTAAGTTCTTTGGCAGCTCTAGATGTTGAGCCTCTGATATACAGCTAGCAAAGATTTTCTCCCATTCCATAGGCCGAGTCTTCACTCAGTTAACTGTCTCCTTTGCTTTTTAATCTTAGGAAGTTCCACGTACTAAATGTAACACTGTTTATCCTTGGTTTCTAAACGTGTATGCAGTTACTTTGCAAGGATGTGGTGGTTATATACATCTAAATGTGCTTTGTTTTACAATAAGTTATTAGCAACATTTCTTGCAGAGTGCCCACTCTCCTGTCTCGGTGCTCAGGCCAGGTAGTTAATACCGGTGCAGACATCCCAGGAAAGGCTCTTCACTGACCCCATCTAGACTCCCTTTCTCTTGTGACACAGCTGCTTTTTCCACAGCCTCATCTGTGCAGGGATTCCAGGCCATCTCCACGAGTGGTCCTTGGCTGGAGTATCAGTCTCAGAAAAGACCCCTGTGCCCAGATTTTTTGGATCTGTTGCTCTCCTTGTGGAGCTCCTGCCCTATCCAGGTCTTACTATCTCCTACTTCTTTCATAAGCTTCCCCACACTCTGCCCAAAGTTTGGCTATGAGTCTCAGCATCTGCCTCGATACCCTGCAGGGTAGTCTTTCAGAGGCCCTCTGTGGTAGGCTCCTGTCCTGCTCCCTGTTTTCTCCCTCCTCTGATGTCCATCCTCTTTGACTTTCTGAATGGGGATTAAGCTCCGTTGTGCATTCATCAAGGCATGCACAAGTGTCAGGCAAACAATCCTGAGCCCACAAGTGATAACTCTGTGAGCTAGGTATCTCAACTGTCCATATTTGTGCACTATTGTTCTATATAGTGCACAAAACACACATCTGGCCAAATGTCATGGTGTCCGCCAGTAATCCCAGCACTCAGGGAGCTGAGCCCAGAGGACCTTGGTTTTGAAACCAGCCTGAGTTACATAATAAAAATGTATGTAAAACAAAACAAAACCCACAGTTTCAAGATGGCCACAATAAGGTATGACACCAAATGTGGGACCTTTCTGTCTGACTCCTCAGGATGTACTCTTTTTTTTTTTTTAACTTTTATTAATTACACTTTATTCATTTTGTATCCCCCCATAAGCCCCTCCCTCCTTCCCTCCCGGTCCCACCCTCAGGATGTACTCTTAAACCAGCACATCATGAATATTAAAATCCGACTTTAATATATATGTGTGTATGTATGTGTATGTGTATATGTGTGTGTATGAATATGTATGTGTGTGTTAGTGTGTGTGTGTCTTTAGGTAGCCCAGATTGGCCTCAAACTCCCTGCACAGCTGAGAATGAACTTGAATGTCTCTGGCTTCCAACTCCCAAGCACTAAAGTTTACAGGCATGAGCCACTACACCCAGCTCTGGAGTCATCCTTAAACCCCCTGACTGGCTGGCTTAGGTACCTCTGCCTCCCCAAAAGTAGCCATCACACAGTGTAAGAGTCTCTGGCTTTCCTCCCAAGTATGGCTCTGAGTTCCATAAGGGCTGGTGTTAACTGATTTATTATGTATTCTTCAAGCTCGGCTGGGTCAGGAACATGACAGACATTCAGTAAAGGTTTATTGAAAGTAAATACAGTTTCCTAAGGAAAAAACATAGGAAAATATAAGCCACCTTTATTACCCTCATATTAAGAAAGTCATAGATACTGTGCAATGAAGCAGGGAATGAAGACAATCCTAGGTTATCATGAGATAACACGGGGGGGGGGGGAGCCAAGATTTCTAAATAGCAAAAGAGCTGTATGCACAAAACTGGTCTCAAGAAGGGTGACAGCTCCTGAAGAGACCTGATAAGCTAGGATCAGATGGAAGGGGAGGAGGCAGGGAGGAGATGAGGGAGAGAGGGTGGGATTAGAAGGGAATGAGGGAGGGAGCTACAGCTGGGATACAAAGTAAATAACCTGTGATTAATATAAAACAATAAAAATTAATTCAAAAAGGGGGGTGATACCTGCTCTGTATGGAAGATAGAGAGAAGCAGAGAGCTCCAGTTCACTATGGAGAAGATAGAGAGAAGCAGAGAGAGAGCTCCAGTTCACTCTGGAGAAGATAGAGAGAAGCAGAGAGAGAGCTCCAGTTCACTCTGGAGAAGCAGCTGCCTGGAGCTGTCGTGGGGAAGCTGACAAGTCTTTACATGGCACATCAGAGCAGTATCGGGGACCTACACATTCCTTCTATGTTAGACCAAATGCCAATGATACAGTACACACAGAAAAAGCAAGTCATATCAATGTCACTGATGACCATTAATTAAAAGTTCTTAATAAAATATTCA